CAGCCCCATACCCATTCCTTAAAGAGCATGTTTAGGTAAAGAGCTCAGCACAGAACCTGGCATATAGATGGGCTTAGTTAATGTTAGTTGTCATTAAGCAGCTCCCAGCATGAGGCTTCAAAACCTAGCATGGGCAGGTGCTTGGTAGATATAGGTGGTGAGTGAATGAACTCATTGATCTGAGGGTCCAGGTCTAATTTATGTGTACCCCTACACCAGGGCCCAATCCAATCTATTTGTGTGTGCAAAGCCAGATATGAGAACTGCATTCTCTCAGCTCACAGGAGCTCCTGGCCTTGCAAACCTTCCATGTGCTGGCTGTTGGGACAAAGTGGCCACTGAGGGCATAGCTGATGCACCTAGGGACCATGGGACATGTGAGGGACCACAGGAAATTTTAACTTGAGAAGAGAAGGAATGTGATAGCCAAGAACAGAACAGGGCAGGAAGTGGTGGAGACAACCAAGTCCCATGCACAGGCCTAGAATCATGAAGCTAAAGGTCAGAACAACAAGGATGCTTAGAGACATCTTAAGCCTTGCTGCTCAAAAAGCGGTCCCTAGACAGCAGCATCAGCATCTCCTGGGATATTGATAGAAATGCAGAATCTTTGTCCTCATCCCAGACCTACTGGTTCAGAATCTGCATTTTAACAAGATCTCCAGGTGATTTGCTAGTGAGTTAAAGTTTGAGAAGCACTGATCTAAGCACTACACCAAGGCTTTAAGTTTTACTTAAACTTGCTGCAGTGGAGCCAGCAGAGGGCAGTGCTGCAAAGCCTGCTGGAGCCCACTGAGGGATGTCTTCAAGTAACTTGCCGGGAGACTTCAGTGCATGTGAGACTGCTCATGGTGAAAATTTGGGGCAAACGCTGGAGTATCCTCTTTGCGCAAAAACAATGGCTTGAGTTCACTAATAAGTGAACCCACTAACCCACTAAGTTTTGATGTATAGAAACATTTGATGGGCAGAGGAACACATGAGAATCAGGCTTGCTCCTTGCCCTGTAACTTCCCAAGAAGGGAGTTGTCTTAGCATAAGGTATTAGGTGTCCTTGAGGCAAATCTGGCTTCATGGGCATGTGACCTGTGCAGTCACACAGGACCCCATGCCCAGAAGGGCACTGCACTTGGGTTAGTGCTTGGCTATCACCAGCTTGAAATTTGTAGTAACTTTATCTTTCAGTATGTATCTTTCTTTTCCTCGTGGCTGGCTTGTGTGGGGATCTGAACCCTTGACATTGGTGTTATAACAGCGTGCTCTAACCAACTGAGCTAACCTGACAGCCCTCAGTGTGTACTTTTTAAGAGAAATCCATTGCAACAATGGAGCATGTGTATGAGAAGAGGAGATATGTGAAATATGTATGTCCACTGCCATTTCTTGTTGCCTCATTCACATGTAGCGTTCATGGTACTCCGTGAGCTCAGCATTCCAGTGGACCAGCCACAATGTGTGGGAGTTCAGTCAGACTCAAAGCAAACACAAAGTAATCACACTATGGAAGCCACTGGCTTTCATAGTGTTGGGAGAATGTGTGATCAAGAAGAAAAATAAAAACAGTTAAGTTAGCCTTTTACAGTGTTTCTAATGTTATGGTAAGTGTAAAAATACATACCCATGCACAAGCTATGAAATCTGAATAAAGTAATTTAGATGATTCCACATACTAATTAAATGTCCTTATATTTGCATTTAAAACTGATATTTCACAACACAGACAGTAAAATCTATGATAAAAATTTAAAAATTTCATTTCCTTTACTTAGAACAGCATTAAATAGCAAATTTTAAAATATCATCTCAAGTAGAGAGACTGCAAAAGAAAGGAAAGCTTTATATTCTAGGACTTTTAAGGGCACTTTTTTCTGCTTTTTGAGCAAGGAAACCCACATTTTCGTTTGGCACTGAGCCTCACAAATTATGTATTTGGTGCTGCCTCGAGGGCTGGGAGAAGTAGGGAATATTTGGTGTCTGTGATCTGGGTGGTCTAAGGTGGGATTTCCTCATGTTTCCAGGTAACTAGAACTAATAGAAATGTGATAGCTGGAGAGGTTCACTTGTTTCTCAGCATTGAGGAATGTGCTGATTTGTGATATAAGGTGGCATTTCTTCCCTTCTCACTGCTTCTCCAGAAATGTTCTTGCATTCCTATGTGTGCCCCCCCGCCCCCAGCACCAAGGAAAGCAAAGAGAAAGGAAAGGGTGCTGCTTACAGAAAGGAAGCCTAGCGGTGTCTGTGATCTGGGTGGTCTAAGGTGGGATTTCCTCATATTTCCAGGTAACTAGAACTAATAGAAATGTGATAGCTGGAGAGGTTCACTTGTTTCTCAGCGTTGAGGAATGTGCTGATTTGTGATATAAGGTGGCATTTCTTCCCTTCTCACTGCTTCTCCAGAAATGTTCTTGCATTCCTATGTGTGCCCCCCCTCCCCCAGCACCAAGGAAAGCAAAGAGAAAGGAAAGGGTGCTGCTTACAGAAAGGAAGCCTAGACAGTCTGTTTGGAGGGTGCAGGCTGATCAGAGGTGAGGTTGGAATGGGCTGCAGGCTGAACTAAGTGGGGCAGGGGAGATGTCTTCGGAAGGCCAGGCTATCTTGTGGTAACAGACAAACCCCAGACTTTCTTATTGTGTATGTGCAATGCAGAGCAGGCAGCTGCCTTCCAAGCAATGGCTGAGCCCCAAGCTCCTTGCATTACGTGGCTGTACCTTCCAGAGTCCCTCACTTCCTGCCACATCAATTGTACCTACTTCCTATTGGCCAGGAACAGTCACATGGACCCAGCTAGATGCAAGGGAAGCTGGGAAAGGGAGTTTTTCTACTGACCCAGGGGAAAATGAAAGGGTTTAGTGAACACACCACATCATCTCTGCCACATAGGAGATGGGGTGTGGAGGGGAAGGTTGGAAAGGGAGGTGGGGGAGGCTGGTTTGGTTTAAAGAGAAAAGGGTCTGTGGTGGGGCAGTTCTCTGAAAGGGGAGCACATCTTTTAGTGACCTCCTCAGCTCCAGGCCCATGAGGAGACTCAGAGGCAGGAATGTAAAGCAAAATCCTAGGTGTTATGTTAGTGGTGAGACTGGCACTCTTGCCTGCATATAATGGAAGACACTGGTGAGGACATTGTGTCCATTTGATGGTTTCATTGGATCCCACAACACAACTAGGACTTAAAGAGTTGCCCAGAGAGTGACGATGGTGAAAAGAGAAGGGAGAACTCAGTTCTCCATGAAAGGCTTGGGAGGGACCCTTCCTATGTTGTGAAGCTGCATGTCCAGTCCTGGGGGACTAAATCTGAGCCTGTATTTACAGGGGACCTCAGAAGTATGGTCCTCAGAGGGGCCAGAACAAGGCACACCCTGGGAAGGAGGTCAGACTTGGCAGAGGAGGGAGTCTTGGGAGAGCTGGAACCACAGGAGACTTGGCATGGATGTTGTAAATGAACGAGTCTCAAAGGATTCCCCTTCACCGTCAACCAACAGTTAGCCCAAGGTGAGCTTCTGCTGCGTGCCACTTCTCACAATGAGAGACTGACTTGGGGAAATCTCTGACTGACTGGGTCTGAGCATTCACTGCTGTAGGACTGTCAGTAATACTTACCAGATAGTAGGTAAAGGAAAAGCTCTTTATCATGGAAGATGTCAACCAGGAGTCAGAGGGTAAAATCCCAACTGCCTCCCTGATTGCCAGGGGAAGGGAGGTTTCATGGAGTTTGGGGATAGGGGCTACAGACAAAGGACCAGGTGCAAAAGCTCCAAGCATGATAATCAGCTGCCTTCTGAGGTCATCTATGGTGCTGAAGCTCCGTCTGGTTTCTGTTCTCATCCCTGACATTATCTTAGGGTCCAGGTGACCTCGTCTCATTTCCAGCTGAGCTGGGTTCAAGTACATTTGCTGTGCTGTAATTTAATCTCAGTTAATGGTTTAGGGCTAACTACAAAGCAAGAAAAATGAAGTTATTTTTCAAGGATGCAAGCTAGAAGGGATTTTTAAAAGTGGCCATGGTTACATCGGAACAGTGGTCTGAGACAGCATGATTTCTCCCCTCAGCCATACAGGTACCCATGATCCCAGGCTCTTCTTCTTTGTGTCTCCATGTTCCAGTTTGTCCAGGATGTACAGCAGACACAGTCCGATAGATCTGGCGCAACTTCAGGAATCCACTTTGATAATCACACCAAACATTTATTTAAATAAGAAAACATTTGCTCGGTGTCATTACACTTCTTGGTAGAAAAAAGTTCATTTATATCTATATATGTGCATTGGAAAACAACTAGAGGATATAAAATTTTATAAAAGTTTATTTGAAAATCCTCCTTGATACTTGAACAACCCAATATAGCCAGAGCTTTTGGTAGAAAAAAGTTCATTTATATCTATATATGTGCATTGGAAAACAACTAGAGGATATAAAATTAAATTTTAACCACAGTTTTATAAAAGTTTATTTGAAAATCCTCCTTGATACTTGAACAACCCAATATAGCCAGAGCTCTGTCCTGGTTAAGAATATGGTTATAATGGGCCGGCCCGGTGGCGCACTGGATAGTGTGCCGCTTGGGAAGCGCGGCGGCTCTCCCGCCGAGGGTTCGGATCCCACATGCGGACCGGTTCCCGCTCACTGGCTGAGCGAGGCGCAGGAGCAACACCGAGGGTTGCGATCCCATTGCCGGTCCCCGGTCCGGTACGGGGGCAACACTGAGGGTTGTGATCCGTTGCTGGACACAGAAAAAGACAAAAAGACAAAAAAAAAAAAAAAAAAAAAAAAAAAAAAAATGGTTTTAAA